TAAGCAAATTACCCAAGCTGGCAGGTTAATTTATAACACTCTTCTCGAAAGCATAAACTTCAGCTCACTTAGCAACGAAATTTTTTGCAGAACTTACCTCATATTTTGTTTGCCCTAAAACTAAATAGATAGAGAAAGAGGCAACTTACAGGTGGTGTGATGATTCGCCCTAGTGGACCCTTGATGGGAGCATTCGGTACCTTGAGGTATGACGCTTCGTTCTGGGCTAAAAAAGATAATGGATGAGGTCGAGAGCACCGGTGTGGCACCAGCCCAAGACCCTCTGATGGCAAAGTAAGCATAGGAGAATTCTCTGTTTTTAGCAAGTATTTATAGCGTAAATCAAGCTGAGAGAGCTTACCCTTTGTTTAGGGTAAGAGGTCCTTTTTATAGAGAGCATTTGGGATGCTCTTAGTACTTAGTTTCGATGTGGAACTCGTGGGAGTGCCCTCCAAGGTCGACACGAGTTCACAAAATATCAGTGGGGACTTTTCAAGGTCCTTCTGTGTAATAGGCATGGAGTGCCAATCGTTACGTCTTAGGAGTTTCCGGGAATGCAAGCCGATCAGCGGGTGACGACAATGCTTTGTGATGAATCGGTCGCCTATACCGATTCATACATTTAACCGGTCTGTCAGTGAGTCAGAATGTCTCCTTAACCCCATACTTTTTCCACGTATCATGAAGTGAGTGGTAGGGTTAGCTATGGTACAAACATATTTGGATTTGGATGTGCATTTGAATGACTTGGGTCTGACAGTGCTATGAAGATGCTAGGGTAACAAAATATTATATTATAAGTATATTATATTTATTATTTATTATTTAGAAATAAACATATAAATATCAGGTCGGGTTCGGGGAGGGGGATGTCAATACCATCCTCGTCCCTTACTTGGGGATTTTTTAAATTCGGGGATTCCCCTGTCCGATTCTCATTTTGCCCCGAAATCTCCCTTTGTTAAGGCCGGGTTCTTGTCGCATCCCCTCCTCGACGGGAATTTCTACCATACCTAATTGAGCCTTGTTATTTTTAAATCCATTTTTTGGTAAGTTTTATTTTATGGGTCCATTTTTTGGGTAAATTTTATAAGTCCATTTTTATTCATCTGTTTCCCTAACGGTGCGTTTGGATGAGGGAAATAAACTTGGAATTTTGACAAAAGTCAGAATTTCTAAATTGACATGAATCAATTTCCGTGTTTGGATAAAAAAAATTTAGAAATTTAGAAATTCCGCGTGGGTAAAAACAAGGGATTTGGAGATCATAAAACCCAACTTTAAATTTTATCCAAAAGTCGTCATTTTCTAAAATCCCAAAAGAGATTGAGGTTTAAAAAAAAATAACTTACAAATGAAAGTTAAATTCCGTGTTTTAAATTCATCACTCAAACAAGAAACTTTATAAATTCTAAAATATTAATTTCCGTAATTTTAAATTTCGTTATTTATGAAATCCTTTGTACTTTTAAATTTCCTCATCCAAACACACTGTAATTGTATGCTTCATTTTCTCCTGACTTTAAACAAAATAAAAAATTAAGTCAGACCATATGATGGGTAGACAATAATTGATGAGTTTAAGCCGACCAAAGAAAAGGAGTTGTTATAAATAAAATTTTAAAAAAAAGAATAAGAAAAAAGGTATCAAGTAGGTTGCTTAAACTCTTCAAACACCAGGAGCAGAAGAAGTGTAGATATAGGCATGAAGCATATGCTGAAGCTTGCCACGTTGCAAATACGAATGCGGGCATTTCCACGAGCCTACGGATACAAAAGTCACGTAGGCATATCGACGAAAAAAAGAGTCACGTAGGCACATGTGCACACTCCTCAACCGTATAACCTAACGCGTCACGTATTCTTTTCATAAAAGTTTTCACCCCATAGTTTGTTAATATTTTGACAGTGCCCTCGCATTAGTCCTCCCCGGACTCCTTTTTCGTCTACATGGAGTAGATCACGATCGACGTTGTCGATTGCAAAGTAGGAGACGCAGTCCTTTGTCTACGACTTTCGACGTCAAAGCTTCAATACTCAACTTTCATTTCATGCTTATCATACTGCAAAAAAAGATTTCACGCTTATCATATTTATTATGTATTTCACGCATTTTAATTGTCTTAATTGCTCATGCAAGTCTCTTAATGGGTAAATTCATACAATATCAGGCAATTTCGCATAAAAAATAAACAAGCAATAATCTCTCATCAGTCCGTACTTTCCAATAGTTTTTGTGATACACATTTCACATAAATTTGACTAAAATAGCAATTAAGTTTCCTTAATAAGTTAATCTTCATGCACTTAATTTGGACCCTAAAAACTTAGTTGCAATAAGGATAGCAAAACGTTGCTACCTCCGATCAATAATGCTATACCACACGTGTTTCAAAGCTTTATTGGCCAAGATAACAAAATAGTAATATCCTCGTTTTATGGACCTCCCTTAAAGTCAAGCAAAGTCATCTTTGAAAATTCCATATTTATTTAGAGGAATGCTAGCAATCTTTTATCTAACATTCTCTTTTGCACCTTCTCATTTCTTGTCATGACATATGTCACTTTATTTACACTTAAAATAATATAATTAATAATCAAATAAGCTAGTTTTTATTTTCCAAATTTACCCTTATTAAATAAAATAGTTAAATTAAATATATTGACTTCCCTAATTTCTTCACTTTAAAAAATATTTTCTCTCAATCACACTCTCAATCACACTCTCAATCCTCTCTCTATCCTTCGCAGCGCCCCACAACCCTTCTTCTACCTCCCCACTTCTCCCCAAAACAAACACTAATACCCAGCAATGACCCATAGCCAGTACCCAAACAAGCATATGAAAGAAACCCACTTCCTCTCCCCCTCATTGCCACCAAACAACATCTCCCTCATCCTTAACCAACAACCCCCCACCGTCCAAAGATTCCCCCCACCTTCCCACCTCCTACTCTTTCTCTGTTGTTTGTAATTGAACAATTTTTTATTTTATTTCTCAAATCTCACCACCAAAGCACTATTTTCTATTTTTATTTGGTTTTGTTTATAAAAAAAAAAAAAGTGTTTGAACTTTCATGATTTCGGAAGCAAAGGGTCTGTTCGGCTGTGAAAACTCAAAGGATTTTTGACTTTTTAGTTTCTGTCAAGGGTATATATGGAAATACAATTTAATGTTTTTTTAAAATTAAAAATATTGTTTTGAGTGAGAGAGAAATGCCACATGTCATTAAAAAAAAAAGAGATGGTCCAAAAGAGAATGTTAAAGAGAATGTTGCTAGCATTTCCCTTTTTTTTTTTTTTTTTTTTAAATAGGAACAAAGGGTTAAAGCATATTCGTCATTTTCTTCTGGTTCACAAGAATCATCCTAATTTCACAATCTTCAAAAAGAAACTTTATGATCACCCCATTCTCCAGAAAGAAAAAAAAAAGGTATAACTTGGCCACTAAGTTTCTAGTGTCTATCCAATCCAATCAAGGCAAGTCCAAGGTACAATTTTCATACACGTTCATCCTTTCTTTTGCTGGCAAAAATTTCATTGGATTTCAGCAAATCTCACAGCTCTTATAACGACCTAGAATTCTTGAGACGGGAAAGGAAAACAAGTCCAAGGCAAATAAAGTTATATGCATTAATTACCTTGATTTGGTACATGTTTATACCTAAATGAAAATCCAGTCAAATGAAGAAATCCTTGAAACAAGTGTGGAAAGGCCGGCCGCTTGCCCAACAACCCACCCACCTATACCCTCTCTCTCTCTCTCTGGGACTTGCCATTGTTCTTTGACCAAAGATGACCCAAATTGTAAGTGTCTGCATTAGAAGACCATTAATCAAATTAGTCATGACGATGCCTACCCTCCAATAGTTGCCAAACAAAATTAGGGGGTCATTTGACCCACTACGCCAATAAGAAGAAAACAAATATAATAAAATAGAGAATAATAAAAAGGGTCGAGTGTGCCCAATGGTCAATATGGTAATGTTGATCCAAGTTTAAAAGGGGTAAGTTTTGGAGAGCCGTCTTAAAATTGATTCATACGAAGAAAGTCAATTACTATTAATAGTGCCCTTGGGCCGCAGCACCTTCCTTTCTGCAAATACCTTCCTTTTCTCACTGCTCATGAAGAAATCGTGTCTTTTTTGTTTCTCTCCGTATTTAAAGTATTCAATACATTCGTAACTCTTCAAGAAAACAGATACACAAGGCCTAAGGTGTGATCAATTTCTTGACGCCCTAAGCAACCAAAAAACAGAAAAGAGCTTGTGTTGTGCGAGTCTTCTTGTGAAGCTAATTTGGCCAGAGATATGGAGCACAACAACATCAACACAGACGAAAACAACAGCAACAACAGGAACATGGATGAAGAGGGCAGCTACATGGGTGTTCCAATTCACAGCCAAGTGATGAAGATCAAGCAAGAGTTCGAGAAAATCAAGCACCCGTCTCTGGAGCAGCCTGCAGAGCTGCGACTGAGACGGGTCCTTCTCCGCCAGATTACTCGCCAGCGTTCGCGTTCTCCGCTGGGACTGGCTGCATAGGGAGGGAGGGATAGGGGTTGCCCTGCCTCAGCTTGCATGGTTATGGTGGCGACGCTTTAGATGTTAACTTTTTTGCTTTTTGTTTTTTTTATATTACTGTTTTTCTTGCTTTCTGGTTTCTACCACAGCAACCATGGGAGTTTTGGTGTTTTGGGGTTTTACTAGTTTAGTTGTACAGGTAGTAGTTGGTGGGAATCTCAAAGGCATAGCGAAACTTATCGTTTCTTGGTTAATTTCTATGATTAGATTCCTGTGAGTTTTGCAATTATGATCTCATACATCATATTTTCGTTCTACCGCTAGACTTTCCCTCTTTATCTATGTGTTTGTCATGCGCATGCACATGAACAACAACCATACATAGAACCTAATCACATTTTGAGGATTAATCCCTGTCCTTTGTTTTTCTCACAAGATCCTACAGGAATTTTCGAAATGTTCACCAACCCTGTAAAGTTTATCGAGTTTTAAAGCTCTGACTATTAATACTAGAAAACCCAGCCTATTCAAAATTCTATAAAGATAATACTCAAATTACTAAAGATCAGAAAGTAATTGCAAAACAAAGTAGCAGAAAAGAACGAAGGCAACAAACATGTATAAGAGACAGTTGTGTGCTCTTTGATAAAAAAGAAAAAAAAAAGACAGTTGCGTGTGCAGACATGCCACCTTTAGGATGATCCCTCTACCACAACAATTTAGCCTTGAGCAGTGGCTGTTTCTTTTGATGCTAGTAATTTCACCCTCCTTGTGAGATCTCTCATCACATCTATAATGACAGATTTCTTCTCAATTCGGAACTGGATAGCCAACTGAGTAGAATCTGAAACACCCTTTTGCAACAGGGACTCATCCTCCATGATTTTGGTTGGGAAGTGTCCCAGTGCAATCACACATAATGCAATAACGGTGCGAAAAGCAGCTAACTCATTTGCTATACCAAGGGGAGCTTCAACTGAAATAGATTTAAGTTTATCTAAATCAAGCTTCTGAACTGTTTCCATGTCACTGGCAAGAACAACTCTTAAGGCTGCCAACAAGCGCCCCTCAACCAACTCCGAACCCCCTAAGCATACCTACTAGGCAAAACAAGAAAAGAAAGGTTAAATACCCAATTTGTGCACCAGAAAGTCTAAAGAGGGAAGTCTTTCATAAATTTAGTACAACTAACATGATCAATCTGATAGCAAGTTTAGATCTCTAACTATGCTAATGGCCAACAAAAAGTTTGAAAGGTAAGTACTAGGGACCAGATAGCAAAAGAGTGATTCACATGCATTCTTCTAACTTCCTCAATGTAAAGCATTTACAGCAAAACACAGATAATATCCATGCAATATATTTCAAGCCACCAAAAGCCAATAAGCCATTTCCATCTAACCACCCAAATACAGCATACAAATACCAGAGTTTTTCTTCAAAATAAAACTGAGAAATTATATGAATAAAGTTTGCTCCAACCCATGGTGAACATTCATTGATCGAAATCAAATTATAAAGCAGGATAACAGTAACAATATGTTTTCAGGAAAGTAGAAACCTTAAGAAGAGGAGCTTCCCCATCTAACTTTAGCTGGCATAAAATTTCTTTCTGCCATGGAGATGGTACAGAGAAGTTGGGTGATGATACTCCAGCAGCCATACTTGCAGCATCCAGAAGTGCTCCATCATATTTCAGCTCAATACAATCATAGGGGTTTGATGGTATCACAAATCCATAATCCAGCAGGAAAAGGTCATTATTTAAACACCCATAGTTAAGTACTAAACAATCGTTCTGTTTGATCCCTGTTTCTGCCACAACCTGGAATGAGAGAGAATCTTGATGAGTAAAGAAACCTCCAATCCCTGTTGGAGAATTTCAGAATGAAATTAAAGAAACAAAAAGGCAAATAAAACCTTTACTAGCATCTTCACGTCCCTGTCATCTTGGTCCTGAAGTATTATGGCATTTGGCTTGAAACTATGGTTGCACATGTCAATGAGAGGAAGCATCATCGGGACATCATTGTTGATCTCACCTGAAAGCTTTTTACCATACAAACGGAAGGCCCGAGACGAAACTGCTGACATTGCCCATCCAAGGGAGGATGCATCTACAGCTTGGCCACCAAAAGGGTGATCATTTGGTTTCAAATTTTCCAGAGCACGTTCGACTTCTTGTTCAAAATCAAGAAGAAATCTGCATCTCTTGTTCACCTGCAACGGGGAATCATTAAACCTTCAAAGCTTGCTGTGGAAATCAAGTGGTCGTCAAGATAAGAATCTTAACAAAGCTATATTACAAGAATCAAGCTATTGAACGTGATGTGCCTCCATGGGTCAGATTTTGTCTAACTCCCAAATTTAGGATTAAGGAGACTGATTGAAGTGTGTTATTCTGTTCTTTAATGTCATAAAGTAAAAAACAAAATGTATGTGGGACAAAGCATACCCAATAGCAAATAAGGCAACCTAGAGGCTAACATATGGTAATCTAGAGGACATGTCCTTCTCTTGGTTAGGGATCTCACTGAAAGTTCTTTGACAAATAAAACACATATTGTTTCTTCTAGTCTGCTGAAGAGACATTGATAGGCAGGTACATTGCATGGAGCTCCAGCAATCCTCCCAATTATTGAACACAATTTACAAAAATGTCTAAGTCAGGATTCAGCCAACCCACTCCGAGCCAATGTCCAACCATTGACATAACCCACAATTTTCTGAGATATCAGAATATCCTACATTTTAAATACAACACAAACTAGAGAGGCAAGGACTAGGGAGGGAGGTCTTATACGTTCCCGGCATATTTTTCTTTGCAGGTCTTATATGGTTTGATATACAAGACCTTAGCTTGGCAGAAACATTGACATTTATGTGGTCAAATAAAGTACCTGGTAAAGAAGTGGAGCATACTGCAAATTCTTTATGTCCTCGCCAGGGAAGAAGATGGGTATATTGAATGTTTCAGGGAGGCTGCTGATGTATGACCACCAGAAGGATCCAGTTTTTGCTCTTTCTTGAAGAAGCTTCAAACCCAATTTCATTGCCCAAAGTTCCTCTGCCAAATGCTTCCACAGTGTTCGATTTACTCATATTCAAAACTCAGTACAGCCTAATGTACAAAACTTTTAAGTTACCAACCTATGCAGATTGCAGAGCAAAGTAAACCTAATGCTACAGTAAAGTAGTAGGGTCTTGACTGAGATAAACACAGAATGCCATGTGCTACACTAGTGACTTGAGCATTCCAAATACCATGGCAACGATACTTCAATTCCAACTTACTAGCATACATGTACATCAAAGTTCAAGCTTTACTGCTATTTTGAACCAAATGAGAGGTGCCACTTACAATTCTACAATTGAACACCACTAAAGTAAAAGCTAGCAAAATGCGAAAGACCCATTAACCAATTACACCGAAATACGAGCATAAACCTAATAAAATGGGAAAACCAAAGAACACTTACCAGGAACATGGCGAGCCAAATTGACGAGAACAGAGTCAAGCCCACCATCTCCACCCTCTGATTCAAGAGAGCCAAATCTCAACGGTACGTGCTCGGGAAGAACAATTAGTTCAGAACCTTTCGGGATTTCCTCTGAAGCCACCAGTCCAAGACCAAAGGAACTATCTTGAGCTATCTTCACGGCTTCGTGCACGAACCCTCCTTCCCTACGAACCCACTTGATCAGGTCAGGTGGGTATGGGGCCAATCGCCCAGGATAAGAGGTTGAGGTTGAGGCAGCGCAAGTTAGAGGGCGGAAGGCGGTGAGCGAAGCCATTACCATCTTGGAAGCTGCCATGGTCGAGCCACTTCAGTCCTAGTGCTAAGAAAACTTGAGAGGATTTAAAATTTGAGCAGAATGGATTGATTTCCATGAAAAATTAGGGGAAAGTTCTCAGATTACCCAAAAAAGTAGGAAAATTAAATTATCGTTGTCGAATTTTGGCGGGGATAATTTCGGGATTTCAATTGCTTTGTAATTTCTCTTTCTATAGTTTTTTGAAGTCGAAAACGTACGCACTTAACCTAACCTGCCCCGCCCCTATTGATATTTTAGTGGCTCATTTTTCAGATTGGCTTATACTTGGAACTTGACCACAAGGAAACAATTGGGCTTAGAAAATGCTCTTGGTGTTACAAATTACAATGGTGTATTTGGGTTTGGGAACACTGAAATGAGGTCATGACGCCACCTCTCTCCCAGTGAGAGGCGCATCTCCCGTAGGGGACTTGCCTCATTCATGCCAGTGGCCATACGACATTTCCAGTCACAAAGAAAATTGATTATGGGAATAAAAAGATTTTTGTTATAAAAATAAAATAATCATAGTATAAAAAGTACTACTGAATATTGATAATAGAATTGTATTTGCTCTTATGATGTTTACACAAACAGAATTTCTCCTCAAATAGAACTCACTCTATTTTGTTTCCTCTAATGCTTCCTTTCTTCTCTTCCTTTCTTTCCTCTCTTCTCATTCGGTGTATTTTGCTAAGAAGAGTTCAATTTTCCTGTTACCAAACTCCCTATGCCCTCCTGTTTCCTTCCTCATCTTTTGACATGTGTCCCTTCACTTAACATAAGTTAACACTGTTAACTTATTTTAACATAATAAAATTATTTTTTAAAAATGGAAATAACAAAAACACTCCGACTCCAATTCCTCTTCCTCGTCTCTTTAGTCTTACCACCGCTGCCTCCATGTCTGTCCTTCATCTACTGTACCACTGCCATCTAACTAATTGTCTCTGCCTCTCATGGTCACCCATTTCTTTATTACAAATTTATAAATAAACCCAATCCTAGACATGTATTTATAAAAAAACCCAAGCACTATTTAAACATATAAACACACCCAAAATCAACCCCAAAGTCAACTTTTTGGGTGTGTTTATAAATGGGTTTTGAGTGTGTGTAATGATGGGTTTTGGGTGTGTTTATAAAGTGTTTTGGGTGTTGGGTTTTTTTATAATTTCAACCTCCATTTTGGGTGTTTTAGTGAAACTCCCTTTCTTTATTTAGTGGTTTTTCCTCAATTTTCAATTTCAAACACCAAAGATTTGGCTCATTCTCTCAATCAATTGCAAATCCCTTTTTTGAACCCATTCAAGGTGTTCAGTTCATGGCGAGCCACAAACAATAACCCAAAAAAATTCCAAAGAAAAAAAAACCAAGTTATGCTGCCCAAATATCAATCAATCCACTTGAAATTCACAAGGTTTCTTTGTGGATTAATTTTTTTTTCTTTTCTGATCAATGAAATCGTTACCACCGAGGCAACCGTCATTGCATTCGTTGGCAACCCTCTAAGGTTCTACTGAAGTTGAGAATACCATAATATTATACTTAACAGAGTTAACTTATGTTAAATGAAAGGACACGTGTTCAAAAGATAACAAAGGAAACAAGAGGGCACAAGGGAATTGGTAACATGAAAATTGGACCCAGCAATGGGAAGCCTGTTTATAGGCAAATTGGATGGCTTACCCAACATCGTCATTAAGCTTCAACATCATCATTAAATTTTTTGAATATTATTTCCCTTTTTTTTTATGTGGGCTCCACCATTTTCTTTACAACACTTCTCTTTGGAGACCATAATGTATGAAATATGTCTTATTAAAAACCTTGCCAGTAAAATCCAGTGGGACAAAAAACTAGTCGAAAGGAAAAAGAGTACATAACCATACATAAAATTTTGTGTATATTGACATGCGTGCGACATTGTCTCGTTAAAACCTTACCAGGAAAAACCCAGTGGGATAAAAATCTGGACGAAGGAAAAAGAGTACAGTGTGTGAAGATCTTTATTGACATCACGCTCCCCCTGATGCTTGGCAAAATATCTTTTAAGCCATATTGTTAATCATCTTTCTGGATGTCATAGTTGACATTGCTTCTGTGAGTCAATCTTGTAATATTGTTGGATGCTCCCCTTGTAGAATATATCCCCTTGATATCTTCATTACTATTTTTCTAGAGGGAAGATCTTTCGGACTGAGTGAATAATGTAGTCATCAACAATTCATGTAGTTGAGTAAGCAAATATATTTACAGTGGGTTATCTCTATAAATCATAGAAATTTCCAAAGTCCGCGAATCAAACAAAACCTGGGCTATTTGTAAGTTTACTTGAAAAGAATATGTCCATATATGGTTTTATGCGGAGATAACATCAAATATGTCTCACAGTATCCCAAAGTGGTGGTGATGGACCTGAGCTTTATCTGAAAAATATAATGTTCGGTCTAGTATATTTCTAGAAAAATCATTTAAGTGTCCAATGGATAATCCACATAAAAATGCTTCAATACTTTCTTAGTATAAGCAAGAATCTCGTTGGCATAATTCTCGATCTTCAGGCCGAGACAAATATTTCTTGAACTCTTCAGGAGTTGTAATCAATTATCAACTCTTCAGGAGTTGTAATGTATTGCAACCATATCATAATTAATGTACTCATTGAGACAATTTATACATATTAATATTGAGTACAAAACATGTGCTCTAGGCACATGTCCTTCAGAGACTTGCTTCATGTAATTACAATCCTTTTATGAATTTTATTTAAGAGATTACACTTCATGACATATTATATAGCTTTATATCCAGCGATTTGTTATGTTTGTACATCTTTAGGGAATCGCTTTTGATGATATGCTCCGAACATTTAATAACCCTTAAAGATAACATGTTGGTCTCCGTAAATGTGCAATAAGAAGGCACGATTGCATCTGTAAATATGAAGAACCTCAACATTCCTTATTTCTACCATAAGCATTGTGTCATATAAATTGAGTATATTCCTCTTTTATTCCGAACACCCAAGTATAACTTTCAGGGTTAACATCTTTTTGGGTTCGTACTATGGACGTTCATTATCATTTGTAATAGAATTGCCTCTTTTCATTTTTGGCCAATGATATTGTCGACATTTAATTATAGAACGTGGTTCCAATCAACATAGCCCATTGATGATTTGAGTTGCTTCTCCAAAATCAAAAATTGTCATTCATCAATTCGTGATCTCATCATTCTCATGTGCATGCGCATGCATCAATTATGAACATTTCTTTGCTTTTGGGTACCTAAGCCACTTCAAGAGCTTTTATTATCTCTTTCCAGACAAACATCTCTTGTAGGATGAATTATGTGAGAATGTGGATCTTAACCTCCAAAGAGAGCGTTATTATACAATGGGGCGTGCATAATCTCCATTCAGGGAGTTGGAACATTTAGAACCCATTTATCTGTCATGATATAGGCATGCTACATATTAATACACACATGTCAATGAATTGTCCTTCTGGGACTTTAAACCATATAATTTGCTACGCATTAGGCGTGCATCATATTAATATTGACATGTTAATGAATTGTCCTTTCGGGACTTCAATCCATATCATTTGCTACGCAACAGGGGTGCATCATATTGATCACTGCTATACTCATGTTATGTTCTTATGGGACTTTAATCTATGCAATGTATTATCAATGTATTCAACTTACAATATGTGAAATTTTCATTAATAATTCATGAATACATATCAAAATGATACAAGTCTTTCTTCTGGAATGATCATAATACAAGTCATTCTTCTGGAACAATTTATAATGCAAGTCATTCTTCTAGATTGGTCCTTTGCATGGCATTCTTCTGGAATGACCTTATCTCCTCATTTGGTCACCTTTAAGGATGTCGTATAAAAAAAACAAGAGTACAAGCATGAAATAACACAAATATTGCTTATATCCTTAGGTGGGAGAAACTTTGCTCAAATATCATTTAAGCTTATATCGGCTTAGCAAATACAATATAACACTTGATGATCTAGTTATATCATGCAAGAGCAAAAATCACAATTCTTCTGTCTCTGTCAAAAAAATAACCCTCAGTGTTAGGCTCACTACATGGATTTGTTCTTCAGATGTTTATTCTAAAGAAACAAAATCTCTTATGAACAGAGAGTTGTAAAAAGAAAGAAAAGATACAAAGAATTGTGATATTGATTGCAAGGTAGGTAAGAAATCAAGGAATGAAACTAGTGACATAACATACAACAAACTCTCATTTCTCCTAGCTTAGAAGAACTTCATGAGATTATAGCATGTGGTCGTCCTTACAGTTCCCTGATCTAGCTTAAACGTGATCATGGATAATCTCGCTTCCTAAATGGATGATCAAAGATAGTCTGGTTTCTCAAGCACATCAAGCGCTCATTGATAGAAAAAACAAGTGGATATTGCATCACTAGATACGGGGAAAGCTGGAGAAAACTGGATGTATTATGTAAAGAAAATTTCGTTAATAACATATTTATACACAAATTAGAGGAACAGTTTGATTCGATGAATCTCAAATTAACTACAAAAAATTGTGATGTGCTCGAGAAGCTTTTGAAAAAGTAACTTCCTGAAATCCGCAAAGCAATATCGGCTTTGACGAAAATAATCCTTGAAACCATTAAAGTGCCCACAAACATTAATGGAGGCCGCATGAAGTTTTGGAATATGGAAAAAGAGAAAGAGAATATGGGGATCCAAGAAAATATTGGGATCTTGGAAATGGTGCCACATTTCTATCTATAGATATTGCATCTGCAAGGCCTGATCTGCATTTCAATTCAACTTCCTTCCATTTTCTGAAAATTCAGCTTTTATAAGACTTTCCTCGAAACCATCTTAAAATGGCTTCCTCTTCTTCTCCCCCAAATCATTTCGATTTAAATGTTGCTCCCAAAACAACCCTTGACGCCAAAGTCTTGCTTCCATCCTTTGTATCCCAAAATCATCATCTCACGTTTAATGATTTTGTGATGATGAATGATACGACTGCTGTCATAGTAGCTAGGAATTTCCTTACTCCTATGGATGAAATACTGT